ATTTGAATTCGAGGAATATCAAAGAAAATGTCTAAGTACAATAGATTTAACATCAGACATGTTAGATCTTGACAGCATTGATCCATACCCCGATATCCCGGTTTCAAATTGGTAATTCCAATGATAATAGTAACAATAATAATTAATTATCCCAACACGTTGGCATAATATATTTATTATGCTAGAAAGCATATCTGGATTAAATAAGAATTTAATTAATAATGTTTTGAAAAGAATTGGGAAGCATTCTCAAATTATGAATCTGATCTGGTAGAAGAACTATTAGCATTTCTTTCAAAATTAAGAAACTGTCGAATTTCTTTCAGTACTGGCCTACTTTAAACTTGGCGTTACTTTTTAGAAGTGAAATTGAAACACATTTAATAGTAAATGATAGTGATAGTTCTGAAATTATTTCACTTAAGGAAAATATGCTAAAAAAACTTGCGATACGATTTCCGGTTTGTAATCTGCAAGTTATATTATATAAGTATATTCTTTTATTTTTTATTTAAAATTATCTAGGTATTGGCTCTTTTAGATCCAAGATTTTGAAAATTGACAATTGTGTCAAAGTATTTATGTTGATTGATTATATATTTAAATAAATTTAAATTTGAATAGTTAATTTTAGTTTTATTTGAATATTGTTTATTTTTAAAATATATTAAAGTTGATTGTTTAATATGTTCAATTAACTTTTTATATATATATATACCATGTTTTTAGATATACAAAGATAATGATAATAATAAAATTTGATTTAAAAAAGAATTAATTTAAATAGTTTCTTAAATATAAAACACTTTCTTTTATGGTGCCCCGGTTACGGTGGTACGTTTTTCGTTTTTCTTTCTTTTTTTAAAAAATAAAATAAAGTTAAATAATAAAAGTTTAAAAAAATAAAATTTAAAAATATCCTTACCCCTTGATTTCTTTTGTAAAAATAAAAAGCAAATTCGTCGTTAGATATTGGAGATGATAAAAGGACATATAAAATTTTTTTGACTTTTCTTTACGATAGTAAAAATTTTATCCAAATTTACAAAATTATAAAAGGTAAAAAAAATTTATTTAGAATAAATATAACTTGTTAACTTCTTGTTTCCTTTATGGCGCCCTGTTACATTTTTGTGAAAAAAAAAAAGAATAAAATATAGAAAATTTGCCTAAAATTATAATAAAAAAGTATAAATTAAATTAAATTTGAAATTGATGACTACCTTATTTATTGATTTGACTACCTATTGTGACGATTGCTTAATCCATTGAGATGACTCTATTTATATGACTACCTATTGTGACGATTGCTTAATCCATTGAGATGACTATATTTATATGACTACCTATTGTGACGATTGCTTAATCCATTGAGATGACTCTATTTATATGACTACCTATTGTGACGATTGCTTAATCCATTGAGATGACTCTATTTATATGACTACCTTTGTGGTGACCTACCTATTGTGACGATTGTTTAATCCATTGAGATGACTCTATTTATATGACTACCTATTTACTACCTATTGTGATGACTATCTAACCTATGGAGACTGCTTAACCTATGGAGATGACTACTTATTATGACTACCTTATCTATTGTGACTACCTAATCTATTGTGATGACTATCTAACCTATGGAGACTGCTTAACCTATGGAGATGACTACCTATTATGACTACCTTATCTATTGTGACTACTTAATCTACTGAGATGACTATCTAACCTATGGAGACTGCGTAACCTATGGAGACTGCCTATTATGACTACCTTATTTATTGTGACTGCCTAATCTATTGATATGACCAATGCCTAATCTATGGAGATGTTAGCACGTTCTTTCATGCAAAAAGCTTCTTTCTTCATGGTGTCCCGGCTCTGGATGTTGGACTGGAATATGATAACCAGCACCTAACCTAATGTGACAACCTAGGAAGAACTGATATGGAAGTTGAACGATAGGTTATTAATTCTATTTTGTGAGACCAAAATGATGATTACTTATTATTCTAATCCACGTAAGAAGAAAAGTTATTAAAAATTAAAATTTTATGCCAGGATAAAGGCATGCTATAAATTTTTAAAATCACTAAAATGTAAAATCATAATGGATAATATTGATATTTTTTGATTTCTTGAATGATGACCAATTGTTGTAAATTACTAAACCTAAAGATGAATTCTTAGATATAATTAAATATAAACCAGTAAAAATCCTAAACAAGAAGATAAAACTTTAATTTTAAATATATTAAAGTGTAATTAAAACATATGAATTAAAAGGGATTGATTTAAATAACCCTATAAGTTATGCTTAATATGATAAAAATGTTTTTGTAATAAAAAAGGTTATGTAAAAATTAAACATCAATTTTAGAAAAATATTGTGTGAAATTTAAATTTTTTTAAGAGAGGGAAATGTGCATAATATTTGCATATTTTAACCTCATAGATTGAAAATAAATAAAAATAAATTAAATATTAAAACGCTACTAATTAAATATTGAAACGCTAAAAAGTGTAAAACGCAAAAAATGTAAAACGCTAAAAGTATAAAACGCTATGATTAACTTAACACCTAAAAAATAATATAATAATTTATTATTCCTTATTCTGGATTATTTTATTCCTTATTCCATAAATTATCATTCCTTATTACATATTTTATTGTTCCAAAATTCAAAATTTTATTCGTGCATATTATTCATATATTTGATCAACTATTCCAAATTATATATTCCGATTTATTCCAAATTCCAATATTCGACTGGATTAATTATGAAACATGATAATAACAATTTTGAGAAATGTGAACAACATACGATAAGGATATCAAGCCTACAATAAACGTACAAACTCACGCAACTCTAATAAACGATTTTATCAAACCTACGTGATAGAATCAAGCCTACGAGAACATTTGAGACTTATGTGCCAACCAAGATGAAACCGAGTACAATCGAAACAGGAAAAACTTCTAGGACAACAAGCTCTCGATGACTGCTGAGAAGAAGCTTAGTTCTTTGTAGAAGAGGGGGAATGTTGATTGATTATATATTTAAATAAATTTAAATTTGAATAGTTAATTTTAGTTTTATTTGAATATTGTTTATTTTTAAAATATATTAAAGTTGATTGTTTAATATGTTCAATTAACTTTTTATATATATATATACCATGTTTTTAGATATACAAAGATAATGATAATAATAAAATTTGATTTAAAAAAGAATTAATTTAAATAGTTTCTTAAATTTAAATACTTTCTTTTAATTTAATAGTGCAAAATTGCTTAGCTTAAGAATTTATAATAAAACATCTTATAAACTTATAGAGAATGATGATAATCAGGTAGTAAATATAGCTAATGAGGATCAAGATGAATTATTAAATTTAAGTTATTTGACAAAATTGGCAAATAAACATTCAACAAATATAAATTATGATTCCAAGTTAGGTGACTTAGAACAAGAATGCCACATTCTTGGAAAACGATATTCACAAAATATGAACGTTCTAAATTTTTGGAGAGAAAAGAAGAGTAAACTTCCCAATCTTTCCAGGCTCGCCAAAAAAATTCTTTGCATTCCGGCGACTAGCACACCTAGTGAAAGAGTTTTCTCTACAGCTGGATTGACGTTAAATTCAAGGAGATCAACATTGTGTCCCAAAAATTTTAATAAAAATATTTTTATACATGATAATTAAATTACGAAATCGATTTTGGATATAAGTTTTCTATTAAATGAATATTAAAAAATATGCCGAGATATCTGTAGAATAGTGTATATTTATTTGTTTTTTTTTAAAATTAATAAGCAATTAAAAAAATTTATCTTATAAAAATTTATATATGCGCCGATTTTATTGACGGCGGCTAAAAATCGGCGCGCCGCCGGCCGTTTATTAGATTTTTTAAAAATTGCGCCGGCCGCCTATATTTCGTCGGCGCACAGGTCTAGGTATATATCTTGTTTATTAATTTGTATAAATTTACTAATATATGTCTAAGAATTTTTATTTAGATAATTGTTAATTAAAATTAACAATTTTTTTTTTAAATTTGGTGGCCAAAAGTTTTTCCGATAGGCCAGGTTTGGGGGTGGGGATTTTTGAGGGGTGGGGGCTGCCCCTCCTCGTGGCTACTGCCCTGTATTGAATGTGAGTAGTATAATTTAGATTATTTAGTTCATTAAAATTTTATTTGAATATTTTTGGGAATTGTCAATTTGTTATACATAGAAAATCAGGTTTATGTAAATTAGAAATAACTTTATTCGTGAAAAAAGGATTAATATTATTATTATATCATTAATTATACTTTATTTGGGGGCTTTTCAACTTTTTGTGAGATTGTCTTTAATTTTACTTTTTATTTGTTTTCAATTTATGATTTTAAGTTGCTTTTAATTTTGTTACATGATGAACTAAATGGTGATGTGATTTTTTACTAAAAGTATTTAATTTTATATTTAATTATTGATATATAAATATATATTAGGTTCATATTTAATTTAACCCCGAAATCAACATTTTCTTTTACAAAGAATAAAGAACACAATCAAATGTGATATCGAATCGCAAATCGGTCGATATCAATTTAATATCGGTATTGTGGGATCGGCCTCCAAAAAATGGTATCGATTACGCCCCTATTGAGATACCAATTTTAATTTTCTAAAAAAATGCTTCTCTGTGCTTATCCAAATCACTGATATGTATTACGAAACCTCTCTGATGTATTTAATTTTAAGACAATCTTCATTTATGATTTAAATCATGCTTAAAAAAATGATATGTCCCATTATAGCAATAAAAGTGGTTATCTAAAATAAATGCCTTAATTATGCGACCAGATTGTTTACTAACATCATCTCTACCCTGTATAATATTGACAATGGAATCTTTAATAATATTTTAAAAAAAATTTAATCTTTTATTTTGTTGGAAGATATAAATTGGTTTTATAAAAGACTTAATATAATACTACTATATAATAAATATGTTTCATGCATACAAATAATATAACAAAATTTACCTATAAATTATAATATATATATATTTCTTTATAAAACTTTATAATTAAATAAATCAACAATTAAATATGTAACAAAATATTAACAATATTTGTAAATGCGTTTTTTTTGAATAAATGCGAAAGTTCGAATAATATGAGAAAAGCAAATCCCATGGCGCTTTTTAAGGCCGGACAACCTTCGTGTCCTAATCTTCACCGAACAAAAAAAATCACTGAGGTTTTAAGGTTACGCGCATGCGTTTTTTTTGAATACCATGAGTGGGCAAGAGGTTAGGGAAGACGGGAAGGAATTGGTATGAGATAATGGCGCCAAACCCGAATCAAGATCTTCTGACGAATTATTTCGATCTGAAAAATGCTTTGAACTCAAGGTGTCAAAGACTATATTATGTGATATAGACATAGAGTGATTATTAATATGGAGCTCTTGATTTGAATTTAGATCTGGGGTGAGAGATCTTTCTATATTTTCATTATCACGGCAATCATAATTGTCACAAGCGGATTCATCGTTAACGCAGTGAGAAAGAGTATAGGAAGCTTTGTTATAACTATCTTTGGGCAAGGGGGCGGAATGAGAAGTTTTCAAAAAGGTGGAAAAAGTCATATTTCCTCGGTTCCTTTCATTATAATTATCGTAATTAACTATAGAGTCATGGTTATTAATAACCTTATGCGTATAGACACCCAGAAGAGCATTGTTTGGACCTCCTATGTCTAAATCCATTTGAGGCATTTGGAAAGTTGGATCAGCATATATTTCAGAATCTGCTAACTTTTCGCGACAATTGCATAGATGTTCAGGAATATTCGAACTTTTAAGGATGGAAGACGATGATGAGTCGTTAGGCACTAATAAAGCCATGTATTGATATCTTTTCGGTTTACTCGTTGTATTTTTAACGTTGTTGCATAAATTTATTGAGGATTGTTTTGACCATGAGTTATTATTGTGCGATTTCAAGATGTTTTCTTTTCCAGTAAGAATAATAGAATCTAATATAAAGAGGATATAAAAAATAAAATGTCAAGTAGACCTTCATCACTCATATTTCTATTAACTTGAAAACTTTCGATATCTTAGGACGTTATCTAAAAAAAATATACCTTGAGTCGATAGCTCATCACAATGGACCTTGTTTAGGTGTTTATCATTCGTATCCAAATTCTTAGTCGCGTGAACCAATAAATTTTTATAAGGACGTAATAATGGGTTAGTGGAATAGTATCGGCTCTGCCAGCCTCCAGGGTAATATAAATCGGGTTTGAACAACCCATAACTGACATTCCTGGGCACTTTACTGCTGTTCCTTTTCTCTTCAGAACGGCCCAGCCTTAAAAGCGTTCTGATTGATCTGATAGGCTTGTGTGGTAGCTCCTTGATACTAGCGCTATTATCCGAAATCTCACCGAAATCATATTTTTTTGTGTAGCGGCGTTTTAAATGAGGGTTCAGTTTAACCCTTGTCCTGTAAATGACGAAGACCCAAAGACAAGATGTGAGGACGGCACAGCACACTACAGCTAATACTATGATCTCAACGATGTGACCTTTATTGGGAGCTACGGACTCGTCAAACGTGTTGTGATGATGGGCTTTTGATGCTGAACGCTTTTTGCCGACATCTGAACTGCCTATTCTCACGGCGTCTTTGGGTTTGTCTAAACCATAACTTTCTGACTCCTCTTCTTCTTCTAGAAATGTTTCCTTGTCTTTAGCATGATTTGGATTTAGGCCCGGGTAAAATTGATTGGGTATTATCTGATCATGTGACTGGAGATAGCGGTGATTTGCACGGTTTAATAGATCCATAACGTTGAATGGGTCAGGAGAAGAAGTTCCTTCTTGGGCATGAGAATCACCTTAATATTCGAGATTTTTGCAATATGTTTTTATATTTATAAAATTAAATTGTTATAGAAATGATATTCTTATTAATTTTAGCTAGTTAATGGATGGGGAAGGGGGATTCTAGCAATTGTTACCGATAAAAGTGCAAAATTTAGTCTTGTTATATTATATATCAATCGTTTTGAAGATTGAACTAATAAACAATTCCGGGCAGGGAGTAATAGATATAAGGATAATAAAATCCTGTTTAATTTTTTTTATATTACTATTATAATCCTTGTAGAAAATAAAAAGTAACAATATTTTGTTAGAAAATTTTAATAATTACAATCATCTTAAATATAATCCATCAATATTTTGTTGCAATTTTATTTGTTTATTTTGTTAAATAGTGTTCCTTAGAATTAATAATTTTATTTGAATTTCTGTAACGTGTGATTTAAATTATGAAATTTATATTCTAACAAATTATAACTTAAGTCTAGAATAATCTATCGATTCAATTCTTTGAATCAAATGGATTAAGGGGATATTTTTTTCCTTCCTTTAACAATCCAGCGAAAATGCTTAATATAGCATTATGCTCTGACCGAGAAAAGCTCAAGGAAGAATTATTAGTGATTTTTACCATTATCATCTTTGCTATCTGGTATATCTGCTCCATTAGTTATGACTCTTAGACGGGCAGAAGAAGCCACCTTCCCAACAGTGTTTTGAAGCACACATTCATAAATGCCAGAATCGCTGATCTGGCTCCTGACCAAAACCAGAAAGCGACCTTGTCCAACGGCAGTCAACCTGGAATCTCCTATATTTTCATCCGCTGTTGGAGCTACACGCGTAGAATTATTGGTGAAGGTAGTGTCACGTGAGTTAGAATCAACTGGAAAATCGACATGCTTGGAGAAATTGAGGATTCTACCATTTTTAAACCATGTAACTGTAGGGAAAGGACTTCCGGCGGCCATACATTCCATAACCGTGCTCTGACCCAGGGTTATTATTTGATCATTCATAGGTTTGGATAGATAAGGTAACTCTATTTTTTGTTTTTACGTAAATAGTTCGATGAATAATTTATTATTTAAAATTATAAGGTATAAACTAATGAAAGTAAAATTTATCGACAATAAATTAGCAACTCTAAAAAAATTTGTTTTGAAAGAATGAAAACTTTATTAATAGATATATTTTTCTTTTTCTATGACATGTTTATACTAATTCAACTGGTAATTAAATACTTCCACCTTTTTTTTCTTTAAATTATGGGATATCATATTTATAATTATATTTTTATATAATTAATATAAAGATCGAAAGTAAATTATTGATGTTGTAAATATCTTATTTTTTAGTTATACGAATTCCGTAATATAAATGGGCTTATTCATTCATATTATTTATTATTTAGGTTATGAAAAGTGCTGATTCGCTATTTTTATCAAATTTTTTTGATATTTATGAGGATTTTAAAAATAATTCTTTCAAAAATTTTTCAGAAAAATATTTTTTAAAAGTAAAAGCTTGATAAATAAGTTTTCATATACAATGACCACTATTTTATCTGCAGAGTGAAGTGTTTGTTTATAGTAGTTCTATAGTAAAAGTATGCCGAAATACAAACTTGTCAACCACATTAAATTCACCTCTATATTATTTCGTTATTTTTATTCTCTTTTTTAAACAAAATTAATAACACTCAACTCAAAATTATCTTCAAAAATTTATTTCGACTTACATAAAATAGTTTTAATAATTTAACTCGAATTCGCTTTCTATGAAAATATTAATAACAAATTCAACTAATAATATATTTATGAATTGCAATGTCAAGCAATATTACACTATTCAAAATTTACAGACACCAAAACAACATTTTTCACTACTATACATTGTGATCTGCATCGGGCTTAATTTTTTAAGCCCGGCTCGACCCGAAAATTTTATTTAAAAATTTGACTGGTCCGGCCCGATCTGAACGAATTTTTTTTTATTTGTCCCGAAAAGTCCGTCGAAATATTGTTCGTTCGGTATGGCCCGAATTTTTTATTGTAAAATAAATATTTTACAATAAAAACATAAGCGCCTTGTTTCTTGAAAGAATTTTAAAATATATCTATTTGACAACATGTAATGGTATCATATTTAAGAACTCAAGCTCAACCCGGACCGACACTATTATTTTTAAATAGAGAGCTAGGACTAGGGACCGGTTATTTCTCTACTATACATTATTACCGTACAACCACCATTCTTTTATATAAAAAAATTTATTAAAATTAAACAAATTTAGATTCTTTAGAAAAAGTTGATGCCGTGACCGAAAAGAAAAATAATTTGTTTTAATATTTTATTTATAAAAAAAGATAGTTGTACGGTAGTGAAATAGCTGTGGTAGATGTGAGATAGTTGTAGCAGCTGTACGGTGGTAGTAATAAAATAGTTGAAGTAGTGGTGTGTAATATTAGTACGGTGGTAAGTGAAATAGTTGTGGCATGTATACTGTTGTGTAGTATCGGTTTTAATTTTGTCAAAAGTGTCACATTGCTTAACATTACAAGTCGTAAAAATATTCTTAGTTAAATTAATTGTTAAAACAATTCGAATTAAATTAATCGTAATTTTTATTAAAAAAAAATTTTTTTTTAGCCTAAGTTAAATTAATTAAAACTTATTTTGGGTAGGTTGAGATAAATGTTTGCAGAATATTTTGAGTTAATTAAAAAAAATCATTTATATAAATTATTTTGAGTTGAGTATTATTAATTTTATTACAAAGAAAGAGTAAAAATATGAACTTTTAAAATAAAGAAATAGATATAGAGGGTTGATTCAATGTGTTGGGTGCGGCGTTGATATAGTTTGGGAGTATGTATTTCGGCAAATTTATACAATATAACTACTATAAACACGTGTTCACTGAATGAAAATTTATTTATCAAATTTTTACCTTTCAATGATATTTTTCTGAATTCAAAACTTTTATAATTTGTAAAATCCGCATAAATAAATAAAAAAATTGAAAATTTAACCAAAATCGGTAGTCGATTCCGCATAAATAACAATAAAATCAAACAATAATTCTAATAAACAAAAATAACAATAATCACCAAATAATCAACATAATGATTTAAATAACTATGACTACACCAAATATGACTCTACACTTTTAGAGGCCTAAATATTATAAAAATGTATTAATGAATAAAAATATTATATTGCAGAAAAAAATGTATAAGTAAAAATAAGATATTTACAACAATTGTCATCATTTTGTTGTAAATTAAACCATTAATACTCCCCCTCCCCTATCAGGTCAAATCTAATATTTTTTAGAGAAAATAATTATAATTTTATTGATAAATCTTAATTTGTCATTTTCTATTACAAATTTATAAATAATTTTTAAATAATCTATCAGAGTCAACATACCAAAAAAAAAAAATGCTAATAAGTAAATATTAAAAATAGGATTGCTCACCTAGCACTTTGAGAGTAAGGTCCAGCCTGGCAGCCCCAGCCCTATTCTTTGCCTTGCAAATGTAGTAGCCAGCGTCGGCAGGTTTAACGTCGGATATGTAAAAGGCTGAATCAGAAGGATGAAGAACCCGCATCCTCCTTTCCCGGGCGGCAGGGAAATCGGCGATTTCAAATCGAGATTCAGCTCGGTTTTCGTCGCTGAAAAAATATCCGTTATCCGAGTTCGGGCTCGTTTTTTTGATTGGGTTAACTTTTTGCCACGCTACCCTGGGTCGAGGGCGGCCAGAGGCGGCGCACTCAAGTCTGGCTGTCCCACCGACCCTGACAGATATTACGGTTCTCGCAAAAATATGTCCAAAACCAGTTTTGATATTCGACACTTCGAATCCAGGGTCTAATCCAGTTGTGGATGAAGGAAAATGGGGAGCTATCAAGACTATTATATCCGTTCGGGGTGATTTTATTTCTTGGGATCTGTCATCTTTGGGAAATGTGGATGAATGAAGGGAGTAAATTGAGGAAGGGAAGTTAGGGGAAGAAAGGAAGCTGGCTATGCAATTATAAGTGCCTCGATGAGCGTCCAGCACTGATGGATGGAATACTAGACGAGAAGTAATCGTTAGAGTGTATCTTTTGTAAAAGATTATGAAAAGAAGGTAAATATAAATATCTTTAAAAAAAACTGTTAAAAAAACAATTCTAGGGTGCCTTTATAATTTCTATAGTGACTCCAATTAGGATTTGCATAATAAACATAGCTAACTAGTAATTTTAAACTGTTATATAAAATAATGAAGTGAGATATAGAAAAAAAATGAGCCAAACAAAAAACCATTTTTTATTTCAAGAAAGTTAGCAAACTAGTAGAAGAAGGAAGTAAGTAGGACTTAAAATATTTTTCATATTCTGCCTATCAAAAAAATTTATACGTTTTTTAAAATAATTACTTTGACATCCTTGGCTTATTGCTTTCATCCCCATTGTCATCTCTTGGTTCATTGTCGCTATTATCGACTCCTTTCTCTAGTGTGTAGCTTTCCTCCACCTCGAACAATTTTTCACTTGGTAATTCTATATTCATATTTAAATTTTTTTAATATTTATACTTATTTTTGTATTAAATAGGTTATTATTAATCCCATTAGAGATCTGCAAAAGTAGACCCGACCCGAACGGGCTTCTGCCTATTTTTAAAATAATCGGGCTCGGTCCGGGTCGGGTCGGTCCTTGGAAATTTTTCTAAATATATCTAAATTTATCGATTTTATGTTGAATTTTTAATGTAAAATAAAAATATTTGATTTTATTTATAGAAACTAGACGCCATATAACATGTATCATTTATTTGAGTATTTATAAAAACTAATTTCTATATTTAAATTAATTCGACCGGGCCGGGTCGGAAAATTTTTTAAAAATATTTCGGGTTCGGGTAGGACTGGCAAAATTTTTTTAAAAAAATTTCGGGACACTTGAAAAATTAGGCCCGTTGCAGATATCTAAATCCCATATATGAAATAGCTAAAACGATATTAAAATAATTTCTTAAAAAAAACAAGATTCATAGGCCTCATCTTACCATTATCAAAGCCTAAGCTGGAACCGTCTTTCATCCAATTCACGCCAACGAATGAACTCTTATCGATTTTCCCCTTGTCCAGAGAACCGAACGCTAAAAGACTTAAATTAACCAAACATGTTAGAGCCTTGTCAACGGACCCCATAACCAATTCGTAACGCGATGGTGAATCTATGGTTAAGGTAAGGGGTGAACGTGGTAAAAGTATAGCTGCAGTGTGAAAAGAGTTTTCACCTAGGTGGCCTGAATCAACCGAATTTTGCGGGAAAGGTCTTAGAAAAAATATATTAGATATGAATTAATAAATATCCATTCAAAAGAATTTAATGCCCTATTTTGTTTGGAATGGTAAAGTAAACTCAGTAGTATTATATTTACTATATTAAATATTTATGTCTGTGTTTTTAATTAAGTTTTACTATACTAGCCAAATATTTAGTATAAGATATTTGAATTAAATTGGAAAATATAGGAAGTCAAAAAAGGATCATTAAACAAATTTTAAACCCTACCTGGCTTGTTATGAATTGAATGCAATTTAACATTCTATGTACTTTAAACAAAGAGAGCATAGCAAAGAAAATTAAAATGATGAATGAAATCGGTTGATATATAACGTATTTCTAATATAATTAATATTACCTGTCAATCCAATACTTATTCAAGGGTGCTGCCGATTGATAACCCACTTCTCTTTCACCAGACTTGTAGCGACTACCTATATGGCCTCCATTTCTCTCTAGAAAATTTAAAGATGATGATTGCCTTTCCATGAACCCTGAAAAGTTAAAATCGCTGAAAGGCATATCAGCTGCCAATTTGAATTCCTCATCCTTGCCACAAAACTTTTCCATTAGCACTGTAAGATTATTGGTGTTGCTATTTCCCATGCCACTATTAGGCGTCGGTGATAATGTTTTGATCAAATCTAAACCTTTCAATTGGTAAGGATGAGAACATTTTAGGGATGAAGAAGCAGTTGAAGATGTGAAGAAAGAAATATGGTCATTGTGGTAAGAGATTGATGATCCATTGCTATTGCAAGCCGGATTCATGTAGGTAGAGGTTAGCCAAGACGGAACCAATGAAAGTACATCGCAATCACAGACAAGATAGGAAGAGTTAAGGATCCTAAATGGATATTTTTAAAAAATATATAGAATTTTGGTACTAAAGGTTTCTTCTTGTATTTTGATAACTTCTATTCCCAACCCTTTGAAATATCTATATAAAATATAGGGTTTGCTAATTTGATAAATAAATAAAAATACAACTAAACAAAATAGTCATTAATTATAAAATATTAAATCATAAACCAAAATTATTCCTAAAATGTTTCCACAACAAAAACGTTTAAATTGAAAGAGAGAAATCTAGCGATAAAATATACTTCAGTTAAAAAATATGTGATATATATTATTCAAACATTTCTCTCATGTTGCAGAGCGGCGGTAATGAGGAGCTGTTGCTATCCATCGTAATGTACGATATGGGGTTATCGGCCAGATCCAGGCTGTGCAATTGGGAGAGCAAATTTAACAAACATCCATTTGAAGACATCTCCAAAATCAAGGAACTCATCTCGTTCCTGGCTAATTTCAGAATTTTCAAATTTACTAGTCCACAAAACAGGTTGCTTTTTAACTCATAACTTTTAAGGCCATATACATTGTTACCCGGGGAAGGCAACTTTGCGGGGAAGGAAGAGAGGGGAGTTTGATAAAACGATGATATGGAGTTGCCCAAGGGGGATTGGGGAGATGTTTCCGTCAATCGCTCAGATTCGAATACTTTGAAAGCGGAACTGAAATGATTGTCCGAAAGATCCCTGCAAATAATAGTTAAAAATGTATTCCTAATTAAAGGCAGCTTATAATAAATATATTTTCTAGCTATTAGGGGGAAAGAAAAAAATAAATGTTTGAAAAATTTATCCGATTTTAAGTAAAACAAATTGATATGTATTTTAAGTGTTTGGATAACCTGTATAACTGCACAAATATAATTAATTTATTAGACTCAGTATAACTTTTGGTGAGTCTTAGCATCTAACATTTTATGCATGTAGTGTTGTTAAACGGCTCGATTTGAGCCGATTTTTAAAAACGGCTAACTCAATATTTAACTTATACATCTATTAGCGAAGTTTCGCTCTCGAGACTTAGGCAACTAAAAGATTGAGTTAGCCGTTTTTAAAAATCGGCTCAAAACTAGCCATTTAACAACACTACATATATGTATGAATTATGCAGACCCCTCTAAGAAAATTAGTGAGCAAATCCGATCAAAATTATCACAAAAAATTTAATGTACCATAAATTGAACTATATATAGATTTTTACAATTCTTGCAAGTTGGAAAGTCCTGAAAACGTATTCAGATGGGCGTCTGCTATGCGATTGTATGCTAGATTCAAAATTTTGAGAGAATGTAGGTCCTTAAAGGTATCCGCCTCCAGATTGGTTAACGAGTTATGACTTATATCCCTGAGAACGATATTATATACATATTATATATTAATAATAAAATGGCAAAATAAATCAAAGCTGGCTTAATTGAAACTAAGGTAACATGTGAAGGTTAAGTCCTGTATACAATAAATATTTTTTATACTTAAATACATTAAAATTAGGTGTATTCTTTCTTTTTATTCTAAATAAATTATATAATGTGGTCAACAAAAATTATTGAAAAAGTTGCGGATAATCAATATAAAACCTCTAAAACCCATTTTGGTAATATCTGATTATTTAATTAATATAAAAATTTGTTTGAATTATAAAAATTGCATATGTTTAATCCAGAGTTTGAAATGCTCTTTAAAATATAAAATCTTCAAAATTTTGATCTCTGAAATCTTTTTTGGAAATGTTCAAACAAGTTTTCAGCATCATAATTTATCTAAAATTCCTTGTTTTTTTGTAAAAAATATTTTTGTAATTATTATGCAAAAAAAATCTTTCATAATTTTAATCTTCTTTCAAAAAAATCTTCAAAGATTTTCTGCTCAATATTTTGGGCAAAAAAGATATAACCTATGATAATTTTTTTTTCAAACCTGAATCAATAAAATGTTTATAAAAAAATATTCACAATTCAACTAAGTTTGGTAAAGTATCCCAAGGCTCAGTTTTGAGAGAGCTAATTCTATTATTGGCTAGACTCAGCTTCTCCAAATGAGCTAATCCGTATAACCATTCTCTGCCCACGTTTTCGATTTCGTTGAAATCCAATTGCCTTTTTAAAAAAAATATATAATATATTCATTATTTTTTTAAAAATTGATATAGCAAGAATCCTAAGAAAAGATGTGCCACCTCGGTTAACTTATTCTTAATTATTTTACAACGTATTCTATTTTTTCCCCTCTCTTTTCTTTCTTTCCTTCTCTGCGGAATTTTAAATATCGTAATTATAATTTTTTTTCCCTAAAAAAACTCACAAATTTTGTATGCGGGTGAGTCCCCAAAAGGCGCCGTCCTTGAGAATTTTGATATCGTTACGCCTCATCTTGAGCACTTCCAGGCTGGACAACCCTTTAAATGTTAGGCTTTTTATCTCGCTCAACTTGTTCCTATTCAATTCCCTATTTTTTTAAAAAAATATATATTAAAATGGCGTGAAAATAATTGTTGCAATTTAAAAAATAAATAATAATAAAACATATATTTTGCGTGTTAAATTTTGCTGTAAACAGGAAAGATATATGGAACTGGTCCCCTTATACAGAAAATTGAATTGGGAATGAAATATTCAATAAGACTCGAGTTTTATGTGGATAACAACTCTTCCTGGGCCCCAATCTATCGCTAAAAATCGGGAATATTTATTAAATATCATTGAAAATCTTTAAAACAATGTTGATGGAATTGAGAATACATAAAAATCCCCCCCCCCACCCCAACAATTTTTTCATAGCCTCAATTACATAGCTATAATTTTCTAACACTTATTTTATCACTACTATTCATTTATGTTTGAGGATAAATAAATATTCTCAATTTTTAGCGATTTAGAGCCTTTAAGGTCTGTAAATATTAATTGTTACATAGTAAGCTCGTTTTTTCAAACGGTGCGGCATTAACCGCTGCGTTACTCACAAAATCAAGCCATTAAGGTATAATTTATAAATATGGAGCGATACGATGAAAATGCTAGGATAAAATTTTATAAAAAAACATTGTTGCGAACGTATATTTCAAAAATTATCATCGTTGTGAAGAATCAGCTGTGATTAGCGTTAAATACCGCACCATTGGAACAACCCGCGTTTACTAAAAAATGAAGCCTTAGATAATAAACTTGATAAACGATCTTATCTTTTAAAAAAAATAAACTTACAAATATTTGAGTTGAGAGAGCTTCGAGAAAATGGAGTCCGGTAAATGATACAGCCTGTTTTTGCTTAACTTGAGCCATTCCAGTGACACGAGCTCATCGAAATAAGATTCGTGTAGGTGTGTTATATGATTGTTGTTCAGAAATCTGAACAGTCATAGTTTAAAAAGATATTTTATTTATTCATTTACATTTATCGCGGAGGGAAAAAAGAAGAAGTCATGTATAATATACCAAATATTACATACTAAGTTCTTATAAATAATATTTTTAAAAAAAATTTTGGTCCAAAAATATATTAACTATTATGAGTGTTATATAAAGCGCTATCGCCTTCACCGCGTGCGTTAACTATGAATACAGGGTAAAGCGACTATCAAATTTCCATTCACTAACAAAATAATCAAGCGATAAAGTTTAGAGGATCTAAGCTTTAATAAAATCTATTTTTGGACACACGAGGCACACTTTATAAATATTAATTTATTTAGAAACATTCTATCCCAATTAAAGCTCTTATAGAAATGCCGAATACTTAATCGGGGAATGGGATAAGAGATTTTTAACTTACAATTGTCTCAATTGAGAATTGTTACGATTAAAGGTCCCTGGAACTAGTTGAGTCAAATTGTTGAAACTGACATCCAAGGCAATGAGATGTGATAGCTGGTTCACGAAAACTGGAACTAGTTGGGATATTTTGTTATGTTGGCTATTCATATGATTTTTTTTTTAAAAAAATTGAAATAAATTTTGAAACTTTAAGTAAAAAAAGTTTTTTCTTATCCAAATAAAAATATGTCCAAAAAATATTTGGCAATATTTTCAGAAAGTTTTTAAAATTTTAAATAATTTACTTAAATTATTAAAAATATGCAGTGCTGTAAAATAACGTCGTCACTACTTACCAGGTTTTAAAAATTATTAAATTTTATTGAAAACCATTTTTGAGTTGAAACTATTATCCATATTAAATGATTATATTAAATAAATTTTTTTAAAATTTAATTAAAGATTAATTTTAACCGAGTTTTCAGATCAAAATAAGATTATAATATCTTATAAATAAATTTTAATTTAATTCATGAGAATTATAATTAAAAATTTTCCACTCCACATGTGCCCTTATTGCAGTTTTTGATTATTGTGGGCATTTCTTCATTTATAAAGACTTTATCCGAAACGGACCATGGCATTACCTTGGCATTCCTTTTTGTGGACAGCTACAGTAAAAATGGCGACGTTACAGTTAACAGTAGAGATTTGCAAATTTAGGCCCGGCCCGTACCGGACCCAAGTCCGGCCCGAACGGGTTTCGGGTTAGGCTTGAGCCTAATTCTATTAAAAATAATCGAGTTCGGGCCGGGTATAATATTTTTAAAAAAATTCGGGCCGGGTCGGGTCTTGTTTTTTAAATATATCCAAATTTATCAATTTTATATTGAATTTTTTATGTAAAATAAAAATATTTGATTTTATTTATAGAAACTAAACGTATAACATAAGTCTTTTATTTTGAGTAATTATAAAAATAAATTTCTATATTTAAATAAATTCGGGACGGGCCGGGTTAGCAAAACTTTTTTAAAAAAAATTTCGGGCCGGGCCGGGCTTGAAAAATTAGGCCCGATGCAGATCACTAGTTAACAGCACCGAAAATTTATGCTTGTTTTTTAAGTTTTGGACTCAACCCAAAAAGAAATCTTATATAAATCAAGTTTCACAACTCAAGATCCTGTTTACATGTATAAAAGGTTGAGATCGTTGTCTGGATTGAAAGTCGGAAAGTCTACTATCATATTGTAATGCAATTTCCTTGATTTTTTAATTTATATTTTTAAATATATATATATTTAATATTTTTATCCATAAGCAAAAAAAATAAATAGAGGGCTTAATACTTACAGTTCTCGGAGTTCCCTGCAGTTCCAAAATGCCCCAGTGTGAATGTGCGAAATATCGTTGTTACTCAAATCGCTAAAAAAGAAATCGATATACGAAATAAAAACAATTTATTTAAGAACATAATTACCGTGTTTTCAAATTTTTTAAAAAGAATAAGGATATAGTCGATGTCACCGTGAAAGTTTGCGAAAATGTATTATTTTGGAAAAATTTAACAGGTAATTATTAACGCGTAATAATACAGGAAAAACCCTTTTTTATGGCTTTAAAAATTGTCGAATTTTATAGCATTTTTATAAATAATATCGATGACATCTTTTTCTATTTTAAATAATAATTAATCATAAGACAATTGCTAAGATTGATGAAGAGTTTTAAAACACAAAATCTTTAAAAATTTGTGATTTTAATCTTGGAAAGATTTTTTATGCATGAAAATTACAAAGGATTAACTTAAATAAGAGATTTTTTGGGCATTTTTTAAGGGAAAATTTATCAAAAATCTGTAACAAAGATTTATATTTATGTAATATAAAATAAGAGCCAGCATGTCTCTTAAAATAAATTTAGGCGTTTTTCGAAATTTAAATCTAGATGAGTTGAACGCTTTTTTGAGTTTAAATAAAACCACCAATGGCGTAAACGACGCTCGCTTAAAAAAAATGTTATGCAGCTATATATTCCCTAACCTAAAGAGTGATGCTTTATTAAAATGGTAGGTAAGCAGCATGGCTTAATTTAATAATAGAAATATCAGGGTTATTTACTTGCCACGTGAAGAAAATGTCAGTAAATATTGTTTTTTTTATAAAATTACATATCTGTCTAAATTAGAATTCGAATTGCAGATTTCAATTCAATAAAAAAAAATTTCACCTGAATGCCAAATCCTTAAATCAGGCTTATTTTCAATGGCACAGTCAGGGAGAAAAAAAATTAAATTTTTAAACCCAGCCGATCCGTTAATATTAGGAAAAAGAAAATTATTCAAAATATTTCTAGGTCCGAGTTTAACTGGAATCAAAATTCAAAACTCAGCCCAACCAAGTCCGATAAAATCCCTGCCCGATATATAAAGATTTATCAAGTCTTTTTTTTAAAATAATTTTTCCCAAATCTATTTTTTAATAAAGCATTATTAATATGCGTATAATGTAGAAATTGTTGTGATCGATAAATTGAATTGTAATTATTTTAAATCAATATTTATGAGAGACGAATGATGCTAATGGAATGTTGGTGAATTTTTTTTTGTATACACGAAAAACAGGTTAGTTTACTAGCTGTGTCAAAAAAAAAATTGAACATTATTTTAAATTTACATTTTTGGGGAATATAATTACCAAAATCTCCAATATATAAATTTTAAGTTTTTAATTTACATTTATAAATATTTAATAATTTGTTAATTATTACTAGTATATAGCTTTACCTTAAAAAGCATATAGGTTATCATAATAAACCTCATTATTAAGAAGAAAAAAAAAGGTAAAAAGTTTAGTAACAATTTTTTCTTTATTCGAAAACAATCTATGAGAAAATTTTCGAATCAGGTGACCAGGGTGGGGACTGTTGCTAAAAGGCTCGATTTGAGCCGATTTTTAAAATAGCCAGGAAAAAAATATTGCCTAAGCCTCAAGATTTGGTTAATATATGTCCAAACCTTTGTGCCACCTATTAGCAAAATCTTTACGTAATTTCTGGAAAAAATATTGAGTTAGCCGTTTTTAAAATAGGGGCGAAAATCGAGCCGTTTAACAACACTATGGGCTGGTCAAAAAATTGGGATTTGTTCCCATACCGGTAGAAATTATGGAACATACGATGCGGTGGGTTAAAGGTCTGAAATAGGCGAGTTTTTCGCCAACGAGAATTTTTTTTTAAATTCATCCGCCCGCCCATTTATCTAAAAAATTTGTTTAAACCGTCCACCCAATGTTTAAAAATTATTATAATTGCTGGTTTAGCTTTTTATTTAATTATTTTAAATGCATTTTTAATTAAACTTATAAAAAAAAATATATAATTTATTTATAAATAGAGTTATTCTGCTCATTTTGTCCGAAAATATATTTAAAATTCACCCGCTCATCGCTTTTATAATATTTTTAACCTTGGTCTCCCCCCCCCCCCCGCTCAAAGTTTAAAATAGTTTAGAAGGCGGGCGTGGGCACTTCTACGGTTCGTCTCTAAATAATTTTTTTAAAAAAAGATTAAAGTAATAAAAGAGCACTGATCTTATTTTTAGCGGACTAAATATATTAATTGTAAGAGGGATTTAAAAGTTAAATTAAAAGCAACAGGGGGAATTGAATTATCTGAAGAAGCATTCTTTATAAATTAATTTGCTTATATTTTTTTTATTGTAGAATTTCGTTTAAAACATTCCTTCAAAAAAAAAAGAATGAATTGAATTATTATCAAAATAAGAACAAATATTCTGTTTTCGGGCTCCAGATTTCTGGAGAAAAACAATTTTCTTTAAAAAAAACATAAACTTAACAGTCTAAAGCACCCAAAACTCCATATTGTGTTTTATATTTGGTATGTTATAAATTTATATTATATCACGAATTAAAGCAAACATACAAACTTTCTGTTTGTTAACCTATGTTTTTTAAAATGTTTTCCGTTTTCTCATTTGTTAAATAATAAATATGATGGATTTAAATGTAGTCGGAAGATAAGAATTTCTCACATGGCGCATGCGTTTTTTATATATTTCTTTCCTCTTTTTTTACATTTCGGTCTCACCATTAAAAAAATAAAAAAATTATTTTAAGAGTTTCTTTTAACAAAAAAAAATAAAATATTGTTTTACTTTAATAAATTATACAATTTTAATTGTAATAGTTTGTGCAAATAAATCCATAATTTATATTATATATTGTAAAAGCTTAAAGTGACCATTGTTCTACACCTGTGTGAAATTTAAAAAAAACCACTTAATTTAATTGAAAAAGAATAGATAATAAAAAAATTATTATATAAAAATAATTGTAAAAAACTTATAATAAAAATTTTATTCAATTAAATTAAGACCCCACTCTTTATTTATTATATTATTATATATTTTTTAAATATCCAAGCCAAGTGGATGGGTGATAAGTAATTTTTTTTCGTTTGGGTATAGATTTTATTGTAAAATTATTATTTATTATTTGCAAGATAATAATGATATAAAGCAGAGGCGACGATATGTCTTTCGAATTTATAGTTATAACTTAATTCGTTTTTACATAATACTATAATCGTTTATCTTTTATATTATATTATGATATAGCGAGGGATGTATGTATGATATATTGTTTTTTTCTTCTAAATTATGACGAAATGTCACACCTGCGCTAAATAAATGATGATGTTATAAAATTTATGATAAATGTCATAATTTTTTGACAAAATACCAAAAATGGTATTCATGAAATTTGAAATTGTGTGTGAGTAATATTCTTAAAAAGATTTTAATTATTTATTAATTATTGTCAAAACTGAAAAGTCGGTAATAATTAGGGGAGAAAAAAGTATTAAAGACAAATAATAAATTTTTGCCACCTTGGCTTGGTCCTAAAAAAAGAATTCTAATAAAAAACGACCCGATATTTTCGCCCGGAATTTTTTCCCCCGACGAGATTGCGTAACATTTTATCTATTTCTCGAATTAAAATAAAATAAGGCAACATTAATGTGTTTTATATTTCGGTTCTTTTGATTAAAAAAAGACATTAGCGAAAGTGATATTAAGATATTTTTTAGAATTAAAAGAATTCGTAGTGGGGTGAAACGCCTCCATACCCTGGCTCATTGGGCGGGTAGGAAAAAAATTTAAAACATTGGGCAGGCGGGCCTTTAGAATCAAAAACACGCCTATCGCAGAACGTCATGTCGTATAAAATAATAATAAATTTATTCCTTATAAAATTAAAGGGGGGGGGGGGGTTGTTACTAAGGGCCTCTTACATCATTCATCAAAAAAATGGCGCGTCAAATTTTAGTTAATTTCTAATATTATTTATCTAAAGATAAATGTCATCACACGTATAATATGTGACAAATTATGGAAAATGTTTGACAATGAAAATAAAAATGTCAGGTAAAAGAAGGAAAGAATATATTATATTACAATTGTACAAATTATCTTTCAAAGCCTTGATGGGATTTATTTTGTTATTATTTATTTTTTAAAAACAAATCCATCATACTACCCAAAAAAACCATGTACGTGATTTTTTTACTCAATTTATTTTAAAGAAAAATATATTTCCCTAGTGGAACAAAATAAAATTATATAATGGCAAGTAAAGATTTTTTTTAGAAAAAAGTCCATTATACAATAATAATGAAATATAATTACTTTACCAGACGTATTGTCTCACCGAAAAATGTAGCAAATATAGCAGGGGATTAAAATAAGAAATAGAAATTAAAAAGCATAATTTTTTTATTAAAATATAAAATGTGTTTTTCTTTCTCCTCTTTTATTAGGGGTTATAAAATTTCTTAAAATAAAATAATACATAATTTATTTATGTTAAAAATGGTTAAATACGGATATGGAGAGAAGGAAAAGGATGGATCAAATTTTTTTTTAAAAAATTTAAATTTATTCACGAGGGAAGAACGGACCCCAATCGCCCCAAAAATGATTTTCGGCCCCCAAACTTGGTCTTCATTTTGTTTTTAATGTTCAAAAAAACTAATAACCCCCCCTTCTTAATTGGAGATTCTTAATGGTACGGCAACGGATAAAAAAGGAGGAAAATTTGGAAAAGTTCACAAAATCGATTCTAATAAAACTTCTTTAAACTATAGTCAACCAAAAATTGCTTCTTAGAATAAACTCTTGTTTAGCTTTAAACTTCACCATTTTTTTCAACCATTTTCTAAGCTATGATAAAATGTCCTGGTTCAACTTATTACCTAAACAGCCTGAAAAGCAAAAAAAACGAGAAAATAAATACGAAAAATGACAATGCCGCCAAATACTTAAAACATACCAAAATAGGGTGTCCTAGTTCAAAAGATAATTAGTCTAGGCTAAACAGCCTTTAGGTATCAAAATTATGTCGAATCTGGACACAACCTGAAATATGTTAAATTAAATACGAGCATAAATATACTAAATAAAATGATCATGGGATTTTGACATTAATAAATTTAAGCGACCCTGACTCAGTCAGGGTGGTTTTTGATTTAAAAAAAATATTTATTCCGGTTGGGGATTAAAGAGAAATTTTGTTGGATGCTGAATATCATTTTTTTTCCTCTTCCTTTAATTCTTCTTTGAAAACGGTCCGGGCCTCTAATAGAATTTATTGCGGTTAATCTTTCTGCTATCCATCTCGCTATTTATCTTATATCGTATATAGCGAAACATAAAATCTCCACGAGGTAATCATAAATCATCACTCTTTATATTTCGTTTAAAATTGATAGATGATCAATATATAGCATTTATAATTTTAAAAATGCAAATTTAAGTTTTTAAGCCCTACCAATTTTATTTACATCTCAATCACATAAAAAAATATATATTATATTCTTTATGTTCTATTAACTACGGCATAGTAACCGTAAATAAAAATATTTGGTGTTTTTTTTAAAAAAAATAAATTTATAATACAATTTGTCATAATTTTGTCAATTTTCATTTACAACATGATATATGAATTATTATAATATAAACATATTTATTTTAGAAAAGTTTGGGGGCAGAATGGAGTGGGGTGGGGGGTAACTCAATCAAGAATCTTTATTCTTTAGGGATTTTATTTCGATATATAATAAAGGTTGTTTTTAAAAAAAATTATATTACACATCACCAAACAAAACGATTTCTTTTTATTTTACACATTTTACTATGTGTAATAATAATGTATTATATTCTATTAAGCCTAACACATTCATATTTTTAAATGAATATACGACCCCTATTTTAGCTTGATACAAAAAAAATGATTAAGCTCACACTGAGAAAATATAAATAATTTTTTATGACAATTAGAAAATTTATTATTATAAATAATAAAAAATATATTTTACAATATTCAATTATTTTGTATTATTATTTTTTAAAAAATGGTGGGTATGTCAAAGCCTCTAAAGGTGACCGTAACTTCTCTAAAATGGTCATCATTTAGTTAATGTTTTATTTTTTTTAAAAACATACTTTTCCCTCTTTTGTCAAAAAATTAATGCAAGGATCGACAAAATATTTAATTGTCTCTTTTTTTCGGTCGAATGCCTCATTACATTACTAAAATATTATAGTAGGTTAAAAACTTTATTTTATATTTTATATGAAACTTATTTATAATAATATGAATGAGAAAAAAAAACAAAAAAATTGGCTCCAAATTGTCGCGTTGGAATAAAGGAATATTACGCTTGTAAAAAAAATGGAATTCAAAAAAAAATATTGAAAAATCGAGAAAAAAAATTTATTATTTTAACTATGAATTTGTTGATAAATTGTGGGAATTAATTATTTGGTATAAAAAAAATGATTTATTAAGTATAGAATATCTTAGCTGTACCAAGTGTCAAAATCATAATTTAAAAAATATTTTATAATTTTAGCCAGATAGATAATCATATTCAATCATTTTTTTAAATGTTAATAAACTTACATTTTTAAAGCCTTGGTCAGATATTTGAAAGATGTTTGAGAAAATTATTTGGTAAAAAAATGATTAATATTTAAAATTCGAAGTAAAGGTAATAAAATTAATATAGAATATCTTAGCTGACAAGTGTCAAAATAATAATTATAAAGTATTTTATAATTTTAGCCAGATAGATAATCATATTCAATCATTTTTTTAATATGTTAATAAAGTTACATTTTAAAAGCCTTGGTCAGATATGTGAAAGATGTTTGAGAAAATTATTTGGTAAAAAAATGATTTATTTTTAAAATTTGAAGTATATAGAATCTTAGCTAACAAATGTCAAAATAATTATAAAATATTTTATAATTTTAGCCAGATAGATAATCATTTTATATATAATAAACTTACATTTTTAAAGCCTTGGTCAGATATTTGAAAGATGTTTGAGAAATTTCGGTAATTTGATTTGACCCAAGATCGCTAAATAAAATATATCAATATTAAAAAAATATATAATTTAAATTCGTGTTTTTTATTTCTTCTTAGTCTTAATTCTGAATAGAGCATTTCTATTCATAAAGCTGTAAAAATTCTTTTCGTATTTTAATTTTTATATCCCTTTTAAGCGATTTATTCGTTTTGAGTCGATTTTTAAAAACGGTTAACTCAATACTTCATCCAGAAAAATATTAGCCAAGCCTGACGGTCTTGCTCATAGAAGGAACAAAGGTCTAGACATATACTATCAAAATCTTGAGGCTTAGGCAATAATTTTCTGGCTAAAATATTGAGTTAGCCGTTTTTAAAAATCGGCACAATACGAGCCGTTTAACAATACTAGTTTTACCTCACTTTATTACGCGGAGAATGAAGCATACGAAAAATTAATTAGGACTACAAAAAAGGCTTTCATTTAAGGGCATGGACACCGGAAAAAAATCTTATGGGTGCCGTGTCCTAGTTACTTTGTAAATTAAATAAATATTATTTTTTTTATTTCATATCTTTTTTCGGTTACAAATAAATTATCCTTTTACATAAATCTAAATAGCCACTTTCTTTTTTAGGACTGTTTAGAGGTAGGTGTATAGACGGCTAAACAGATGAGTGTTTAGAAAAAAAAACGAATCAGGACACAACCATGCAGACGAATTTTATTTCAATTTATTAATTTAATTAGAATCCATAAGAACTGTAAGTCACTGGAATCATATGAATCAGCAAGGTAAAATCTTTCTTATTTATTAGATAGTGGTCACTGTGAATGGTAATAAAAAAATGGACCATTTTTGTAATAAACGACACCATTGGTTAACCAGTAGGGTATTATATCAAGCCACGAACTCGGGTTGAATATAATAAAATCTTAAAAGGAGCTAAAAGGACGCTTATTTTATATATTTAGTGGCGTTGCTAGCTTTATTAACTTGAGGAGGGCTGACTTTTTAAAAAAATTTACTTAAAGGGCATCCATCTTTAAAAAAATGTGAAGAGCTCGGCAAATCCAAACTTTTCAGATATTTGAGCTCCCTGTGCCCCCTAACGAGGCTATATATTTATTAAAATTAAAACAAAATGAAACCGTTATATAATTATTTAAACTAAGATGACACGAAAGTTATCACTATCCTATCGCCTGTAGTTAGTTAATATATTAAACAAAGTTTTTATCGCAATCAATTCGGGCACTTTTACCTCGCGAATAATGGTAGGGGGGAGGGAGTATGACGCAAGATCGTCATGGAAATTGAAGTGTTGTGAAGATGCTAACCCTATTAATAAAATGGGAGGGGTTAAGGGTAAATGAATTAAAATGATATAAGGATATGCTAATTAGGATTTTCTTTGGGAGTATGGGGATGGAAAAAAAAGTAGGGAGTAAAATCGTCATTGAGAGTGGTGGTGTAGAAGTGCATGAATTAATTTAGTTTTTATATAAAAGGTCAATAATTTTTTTTTATCATTATCTATTTTTCTTTCTATTTAAAAAAAATATCTTACATTATTTGAGAATCTTCGTGGAGCCAAGGAATTCCTATAAGATTACGCTTATCGCAATCTACGTACTTGTGATTTTCATTGTCTATGTAGCACCTACATTCCGCGGTACATCTAAATTCGGATTCATCGACGGCAGACGATTTATTGAAATCTTTATTGAATTGGCCATTCAAAATTAACAGCAGAAATACTAATAGAGGTTTAATTTGAATGTTATATGAGGTTAAGGTGGTTATTTTGTAAAGTACGGAGTTTGGGTTTTTCCAAGAAAATACTATTTTCATTTAAACGATAATTTTCTAGAAAATTGATTAAGAATTATGGAATCATTGAGGTCGTCTATTCGTAAAATGGGAAGGCACGTTGTATGAATGTTTTCATACTATTTTCATGAATATTTTTTCATTCTTATATTTTATTTATCGATTTTTATTTTTTTTTAATAAATTCATAATTTAAAATTTTTGTATTTTATAAATACAAATTTGTTTTTATAAAAAAATATTTTTTTAACCATCATCTGTTTTTAAAATAGATATATTTTTTAAAAAAATATTAAAATAAATTTAAGGTATAAAATTAAATTTTTCTAATTAGAATCATGAATATAAATATAAAGATAGAGTGTTATCATCATGTGTGTGAAGATATACGAATAAATAAATTATTAACACAACTATAAATATTTTTTTTTTTTTAAATACGATATAACATCACATACTAGGGGGTTGGGATAAAATAAAAAAAAGTAAACATTTTTTTTTAAAACAAAAAATAAGTAAATATATTCATGGTGCACATGATTGGTTTAATCTTAAAAAAATAAAAATAAACAAAAACTTATATTACTTTTTGTTTATTTTATTTTTATTTTAATCATCAAATTTTTATAAATTATTTATACAATAATAAATATAAAAAATATTAAATTACAAAAAAAAAGAAAAGAAAGTATATTTATTTTAATGGCTTTATAACTCCAAGGCATTTTTTCAAAATAAAATAAAATAAATAATAAATAAAAAAAATATATTTATAACAATTAATCAACAAACAAATCAAATTGTACTTTCTTTTTTTTAAAAAAAAATTTATTTTTGAGTTATTGCGGAAAATTTGTGCCTTCTGATTAGAAGGTGGGAGTCAATATAATATAAAACTGAATATTGTAGTTAAAATATTTAAAATTATTTCTTTTTTTTCATAATATATAAATTTATTAAGAATTTATAGGAGCACATAATTTTTATATGGTGATTACCCGTGTGCAAAGGCAAACACTATCCTTTTCAACTATTATTCCTTTATATAACATTTCGGGCAGGGAGTTAATAATAGTCCTTATAATTTCGATAAACATGAAATATTTGACAATGTAATTGATTCGCGTTTCAAAGTATAAAGTAAAAAAATAATGCTCTAGATTTCCTTATTAGATTTCTAACGAAGAAATATAATATGTATAACATAAAAATCAATTTAGATGAACGAAAGATAAACAAATCCAACAAAGTGATTTTTTTTGATAAAATATATTAGATTAAAGAAATTTATAGTCAATAATAGCTTAGCAAGTATAATATTTAAATCTACTAGCCTAGGAGAAATTACATAAAAAAATATATTCAATATCGAAAATTTCCAGATTATCTGGAAATCCCACTCCTCAACTATCACTGAATGTCAAGAGGAAAAAAATTATGTCTAAACCAAAATTTTTCATCTTCATTTTTTCCGAATTTTGAATCCTCGTGTAAAATATGGATCGTGATTCAGTAAAATCTCGGGGGTTGGTTCATAGTCCTGCTTTTTTTTAAACAACAATGCTTCATGGATTTCTTTTTTCATTAATATTTTTTTTAAAAATTAGTATTTTTTTTCTTTTAATTTATTAATAATTTGAATTTAAAACAAATAGCAATATTTCGTTAATTTTGGGTTTTTAATGTCCCCAACCCACTTCTGATTGAATCAAACATTTTTGTAATTGAATATCATGTTTATAAGATTTTCGATTTTAAATCAGCACTTGGAACTCCACCCAAATATATTAAGGATAAAATTTAAATTAACTGAGTATAGCTATTTTTTGTTTTATGTTTGCCCTTTCTGTCATTGATATATTACGATTGGAGACTACAGAGAATCCAAAGTATGACAAGTCCTCTACCAACTGAAAACCATTTAATCTAATTGCTTGGCCTTAGGTAAAGAGGAAGTCAATGATAAATATTGTCAAATCAAGATATAAAAATTATCTAAAATACAACATAATTTGCCAAACAATGACAAAATATATTTTGAAATGTCAAAAATTCCACATTTTTATATATTAAGTGGTGAAATCAAGCTATCGATTCCGATCTACTATATTTCATATACCCCTGACTTCAGAAAAAAAATATGATCCTTGCTGGATTAAAACTCGGAACCATCGGATGGCAAGTTATGCTCTTATCAACATCCACACTCCATATACTATTTCCAAAAATTGCATTTGAAATATAAATTATTACAAGCAAGTGTGGCTGTCCTATCCAAATGAAAAATAAATAAAATACCAATTGGCTAAACATTACCTTTGACAGTTTCTATTATAAACCTAAAGAGGAGGCCTGCTGGATGAATTTCGAGGCTTGAAAATAGAATCATTTTTTTTAAATAGGATGTAGTCTGAAATTTTAACTTCTACGGACCTCATATTTATTTAGTAGCTATGGCATAGATAAGCAAATTCTAATTTTCAAAATTTAAGTTAAAATTTTTCCGAGATTTCGCATTTAAATGACAGAAAGGTTTCCTACATTGGATCAAATCACGAGGCTTAGATAATATATTTTTGCTAAAGTCTCGATTCCGTCCTTTTTTTAAAAAAAATCGCCTAAATTGAGGAAGTGAATTCTAAGTGCTTCTGTTTGAATGCATTAACCATTTATGAAGGGAAAAAAACTATTAACAACATTATCTTAGCCAACCTTACGATTAAAAAATATTTGAGAACATTTATCCTGAAAATTTAGTTTAATGCTGAATTACTATATTATTTTAATCCGTTAGAGTATATAGAACAAAAATGTTATTAGCCAAATTTAAAAAAATTGACATGCCAGAATAAGAAATATAAAAGCACCAAATATCTGGTTTGTGATATTTTGCCTGACTAATATATTCATTCCTAGATCCATTTTGCCAACCACAAAAAAGAACGAGTTATAAACAAAATGAATATAGCACATTTTAGTGCTTAAATCCCGTTTGTCGGGTAGATTTTTTATTTTAAAAAAGATAAATTTATTGTTAAAATATTAAAATGACATCATCTTAGAACGGAAGATACAGAAGTTTCTAAATTTTCTTGCACTAATATTTTGCGACATACTTATTAATTCTTTGATTAATTCGCAAAACAAAAATAACCGAACTATAAAATATAAACTATAATATCACGCTTTAAGCATAAAGTTAGCCTAAAAGCATTAATTCTGAAACTTATATCAAAAATTAGTACCTATTTCAAACATTTTAATGGTCCCACCCTTTTTGCAGAAGGTTTAAAGAAAAAGCCTCATTTGTAAAATAAAAAAAAATTGCCAAGATTGGCTTTATGCCAGAAAGAAAATTAAGAAATACTGATAGATTACACTTATGTCAATGATTTTAAATTTTCAAAGGACTATATTTTCAAAATAAAAGAATTTTGAGTTTTCATTTTTTTGATACTCCCCTCCCCAGGTCTATGAACAAAAATATTATGCAAGCCTCAAGATATTGCTAATAGATGGTATAAAGGTTTGGACATCTATTAGCGAAATCTCGAAGCTTAGTAAGTATTTTTCTGTTTTAAAATATTAAGTGGAGACTAAAAGATTTTAAAAAGACGTAATCTATCAGTATTTTTTAATGCCATACATAGGAGTAGCAAATCACCTCCCTTCTAAAATTTTTATTGTCTCGTAAATAATATTTTGAGCTAGTAAAAATCCCTCCTAACCCCTCCCCCCCTCCTACTGCCCTTTCCACATAAAATATATGTTAATATCATTATAAACAGTTAATTGAAGGAGTAATAAATAGAATAAAATAGATAAAAGTACAAAAATTTTTTAAATCTAAAAATTGATAATATTTGGCGCCATCTTGCCTAAATTCGCGTTATTCATACAGCTTTATCGGATATTACATTGATTTATATTTATTATTCGTGTGTTTTTTTTATTTCAATTCATTCTCATATTATATATTTCCACAGTTTTAATAATTATTTCGTCGTCTTAATATTTTTGTCGGTACAATTAGCCACATATTGTGCAGCCTTAAGTCCATATTCGGTGTTAGTAAGTCCGGTTCGCGTCTTTATATAACTGACGCCAACATGATTTTTTTTCCCACTTTTAATCTGTTTTGATAAATTTCGCTTTATTCATTTACGCTTATTTTTTATTAATTTTTTCTTGCATCTGGATATATTTCGCAAGTTTTCGATTTATTCATTATCGCATTAATTCATTTTTTTTAAATATTATTCAATTAATTTATTTTCATTACATCCGTATCGCATTAGCTTTTAATTTATCCATGATTGCGCCATGAGTTTATAACAATGGCTACCGCTTTTCAATCCAAAACTTGCCTTTCCTACTTCTAACTTATTCATTTTACAAATGATGGTGTGTTTTATGTTTATGGATCAATCATAAACAGATGCCCTCAGTTAAGATCTTCCCCTTATAAGAGCATTTTTCCGCTTTCCAGCTCATTCACATAACTCCCTTCACCTCACGCTTCTAATAACTCCTTCTCATATATTTCTTGATACCATAAAACCTAACATCCTATAAAAATTTCCTAAAGATACTAGGTTATAACTCTCTGATTTTATCTCCTCTTTTCAGCAAAATTTTAACGGTAAGACAGAATTGTTTAAATTTCTATACTTTGTTATAACACCTTAAGGCTATCTGACAAATCCTCAAGAATTTTCTTAAACAAATTAAATCAGCCAGACTTACTGCCTTAAAAACATTTGACAAATAGCCATTGGTTCAACATTCTGCAGCCTTGGACTAATTGCATCAAGGATTAATTATAACGCTCGTCTTCTCAACCCATTTCTATTAGGGGTAAGAATTATTAGCGGATGTGAGACGGCTTTAGATTTTACACGTTTTGGAGAGAAGTTCTACAAATGAAACACCTATCAAAATTGATTTTGCTAATGCATAAAACACTCTCTCCAGTAACTAATTTTTGCAATCAGCGAGCACATCATTCCCATGCTGCACCAAATTCTATATCCTTGTTACTAATTTTAATAAATTTTGCAATTCAACTCTCAAAAAATATTTTTATCCAAGGGTATCCAACAAGGTAACTAAAATATCTCTCAATAATATCTAATATTGTTTCTCAATAATCTCACCGATTATTATTATAACTTATAATTTCTCAATAATCTCACTGATTATTATTATAACTTAATATTATTGGTTAGAATTTTGAACATGTTACTACTTTTTAACATTTCTTTATTTTATAACTTTTTCTCCAATATCAAATATTGTAATAATTCTATTAATGAATACAAAACATTCGTTTCTTTGTTTTACAATTATTATATCCCTCCGCGTTAATTCTTTATCCAATCAATATAAACAAAAATCAATATTTTTTTATATTTCTAAATATATATTAATAATTGATTGACATTTATAATTTAATAATACTAATATTGATAAATATATATATATATATATAATATACCAACATATATGAAATATCCACTACAAATATATAAGAAATATATAACAGTAACCAACTAGGATCCCTCTTATTCTGACCCATCAATAAGATGATCCCCTCACAATGATGTGAACACGAATTTTTGGAAGTTATCACTTCTAACAATCTTCCAACTTACCACCAACGAGCTTACCCAAGCTACTGTAACCCGATTTAACTGTACGATAGCCTATCCTAGCATCTTCCTTGGTTGCAGAACTCCTATGAACAGGATGGTTTAAAGCAGATCGTGTAAAGGTCGAATAGGCATTACAAATACAATTTCTTAATCAAACTAACTTCAAAATCTTCTCAAATACCTGCGATACTTGAACAGCCAGGATTTTTTTGACCTGCCTGGAGCAAAAAGAACAGCTAAATTTATTAATATTTGGAAATTTCTAATATCATATTTTTATTCCAATAATATCCATAATCTTACTTCCTTTGCAAGCTAGCGTTATCCTTCCTGAAAAATTTAGGATCTCACTTCTGCAAGTTTACTGGCTATCCTCAGAAGTCTTCCTAATACAAAGGCTGGCCATGGCTATCTTTATCAAATAATATAAGCTTAAATGACATTCTTCTTTCCAAAAAACTTTTCTAGACTTATTCTTCCTTCCTTTTTCTTCTCGTTTTACGTTATATTTCTTATTTATTTTTTAATTTTAGATTTGTTTGTTTTAATGTAAACAAATGTTTATTTTTTTTAACATAAATATTGTATATTTTAAATAATATAAATTTTAAAAATTTATCTTATTATTTTTTATCAGTGTATAAAATTATTTTAAGTATAATTTATAATATATATTTATTATAAAAAAAGGCATTTTTATATAAAATAAAAGTGAGTGAAGACCCAGAATTATTTCTTTAGAAATAATATAGCTAACGGTCTGCTAGTGGATCTAAAGCCTTCCAGTAAAATTTATGTGATGACCTATTTAATTAGGCCTCTCCCCCCTTCTTATATTAGCTAAACCTGATATAGTGCACTAAGGATATACTTATCAGGCTAAATGAGCCAGAGTTGAAAAAAATTCTGAAAAATTTTGAAGACTTTTTGTTGTCATAAATTTGAGCAAAATAAATTAAAGATTTTTACTCAAATTAAAATTTGCGATTTTATTAGGAAAGTATGCATATAAGAATTCCGAATATTTACTTATAAAAGATTTTTCTACAAAAAAAGGTTATTTGATGAAAAAACTTGTTTGGGCATTCTCAAAAAATATTTGGAGATCAAAATCTTTTTTATTTAGATAAGCATTTCAAACTCTGAAATCAACAAAAAAAACTAATATTATAAAAAAATGATTATTTTTTATTTAATAATATTGCATACTTTAAAAGTTAAAGAAAATATGTTAAAATAAACAGCTGAACCAACCAATTAAACTATTTTAAAAAATAAAGTAGGTGTAAGGGTTATTCAATTTTTTTAATACACATGAAGAGGCTTATGAGCGAGTTAAAAAATATAAAACAATGGTTAGGTGGATTTGGGGTAAAACCTTCCTATTGCAGACCTCTAATCCTACTTGGCTGTAATAAATTACCCAAGTTTTATACCAAATTTCTCAAGTTTAGAATAAATCTATCTAAGGGGAACTCACATTTCAGGCCCATCGAGTTGATTAAGAAATACATAGGAGTAGTTCTGAAGGGGAGGGGAAAATTTTTCCATCTCTTAATATCTTCTTGTTCTCACAAATATCATTTTTAATAAAAAGTCCCCCCCCCCACAACACTACTCACATTTCTTTCCATTAAAATTATTTATAATATGTTAATATAAACAATCGCATAAAATAAAAATAAGTAAGTTAAAAAAAAGCGAAAACCCAAAATTATTCTTCAAAAGGTGTAATATAAACAAAAATTTGCAAATAACACAAATCTAATACAATTTTTTTTTAAAAAACTAATCTAATAGTGCCCCCCCCCCAAAAAAAAAACCTCTACAGAAAACTTATGGCTACGCCTATGTAGAAATATATACATTTCTCATATTTTTATTACAGGATTCAAAGTTATCAATATAATTGGTTATGTTTATCAGATGATCTTTATTTATTATTATATATATTGAAAAAATGACTCTGTGACTATCAACTTGATGACATCTATAAAAGTTGCACCAATCATTTCAGGGATTTATTCTTTCATTTCCGAATTTGTGCAAGGATTTTTCGCTCTAAAAGGGTGTAAAATAATATTTCAACTAATAAAGATCTTTTGGGAGCACAAATTTGAAAAAGAAATATTACGACCAATATTAGTTTATATGAAAATAAATTCAATTGCAAAAAGGGTATATGCTAATATTGTTTTCTTCCAGAATAATTTCGATATAACGCTTTAATTAATTTATACGCTCATGAAACCTGATTAGCAATATGAAAGTTAGAAAAAGAGCAAATGGCAAACATACCATGTCCTTCGATGAAAGTTATATTATGTGGGGATTTTGGTGTTGGGAAAACAGCAATTTTCAAAAGGTTTGCAAATAAAAATAAATCAGACCCAGAAAATAATATATTCATTAATCTCGATCACATCGAAAATAAGTTCCAAATTTCATCTTCCGAAAGTATCAAAGTAAAATTAAATTAGAAATTTTTAAGAAATTAATTTTTAGATACAACTTTGGGACACTGCACAGCTTGAAAAATGGTCATCCATTCCTAATAGTTATTATAAATACTCAGATGCCGCAATTTTAGTTTATTCTCTCAATGATATTAAAACTTTTAAATCACTTCCCCAAGTTTATAAAGATTTTTATAAATAGTTTAAAATATTAATTTTAGTATATACTTGATATTGTAGAAAATTCTCCTAAATGTAAATATTTTTATCTGTGTGGAAATAAAAATAATTTAAATGCAAGTAATCAAGATGATAATCTTGTTACAAAAAGAATGTTGGATAATTTTATTACTGACTGTGGAAATATGAAAATTAAATCATACACATTATCAACTATATCTCCAGAAAAAATAAAGCTAAACATTGAATTTGAGTCAATGTTTCAGGATATAGCAAAAGATTTAAATACATCTTATAGACAAAGTCAAGTAATTCAATTTAATCCAGCCTTATTGAAAATAATTAAGGATAATCCATTATATGATAAAAATGAAACTAATAATTGTAATTATTGTTAAAAAAAGAAGATAGCAGAAATAATTAAAATTATGTATTATTTAATCAAAAATTCTCAAAATATACCAGTGACTTAATGCAATACTTACTTAATTTTTATAAAAAATTGCTGCATAATTAAACTTTTTTAAAATAAATGATGTATTTTTTTTTTCAATTTAATATTCAAAAATAAATATTAATATTGTCATTTGGATATATTTAGAGAAATCCTATTAAATTTTTAATTTCAACAAGATTTCTACTAGCAACAACTTTAGCTAGTTCAGACCCCTCATTTATAATGTCACATAAATTCATAAATTTTTTGTCATCCATGATTTTGTTATTTTCTGGATCATGTGGTAATAAGTCCAATATTTTAGTCCTGATTGGCAATAATTCTTTGATCAATAAATGGGATATCTCTTCCTTCATATGTTTCACTGAGTCAAATGTGATCTTGATATTGTTATTAAATACAATTTGAGGCAACTTTTTTTGTAAATAAAATTTAATAATAAGATCATTTATTCTATAACTATGTAAAAAAAATCTTTAATTTTTATTAATAAGATTAGGCAAGTAAGAACATATCATGAAATAGTATAGGCACATATGCAGGAATTCAATAGTGGGGGGAGGGGATGAATTTTTTTCAATATTAAAAATGGGGGAAATATAATTAAGAATATTATAAATTTAAATGTAAAATTCAATTTTTTGGAGGAATTAAAGCGAATAAATGATTTCAACAGTGCTTCATAACTCCCTATGTATATTAAGAAGCACTAACACCAATTCAATCTATTTTCACAGGTATTACTTCTCAGTAGTGTTGTTAAACGTCTCGATTTAAGCCGAATTTTTAAAATGATAAACTAAATATTTTATCCGGAAATTTATTACACAAGCCTGAAGATTTTCCTCAAAGATGGAACAAAGGTTTGGACATCTAAAGAAATATCGAGGTTTTGGCATTATTTTTTGGGCTAAAATATTTAACGTTTTTATAAATCGGTTCAAATCAAGCCATATAATACACTACTTCACTAGTATGCCTTTATTCTTGTTAAAGAAGAAAATGTTCTTTCATTGGTAGAAGTACTAATGGGTAGAGTTTATATATAATAATTATATTAGGAAAATAATTTATAGTCTAAAATATGTTTGAAATTATGTGAAGCATTTATGGCATTTTTCGGAACATTATCAACCATATTTAACTTTTATACCATAGTTTGCATTCTATGTAATACTTAAGCATCCTCACAAAAAAAATCTACCAAATATTTGATTTTCCCTCTACTAAAATTTGAAATAGATTCAGACTGTGGTAATAATATTTGCAGATGTAAGTGATTAATCAAGAACCTTTCATTCGTGTTGTAAAAGATGAGGAAGATAAATAGATTTATTAATATTCTTCTACTGAATGATGGGCTTGCCTTGCTGCGAATCAAGGTAGACAAATTAAATTCATAGAGCACGCTTTTGACTCAACAATAACATACAATTTATTAAAATCAGTTCCAAATAACTTCAATCAAATCGATGTCATTTTTTGAAATATTTTACTTTAGTTTTGTGGTGAAAAATTTACAAATGATTTGTTGGGAAATTTTAAAATGGCAGCTAAATAAATAAAATTTGAAATCGATATTAATTTATAGAATAAATTAGTAGTTTATTTTTGTTATGAATGTGATAAATAAAAGTGAATTGGAATATATGTTGATTTTTTGAAAAATATTTTAGCCGGTATCTTGATTTTCTGGCTTTAGGAGGAAAGGTGTCCCCCCACCCCTACGCTGCATAAGTGCCTGAAATAGTATACTTTATATTTTAAGATTTTGATTTGTTCATAAGTATATTATCTTAAAAAGATAAATTATCGTTGACCCCTCCCCATAATTTGACGTCCTATTTCTCTTCAGCAAGCCTCCAGTATAATTATTCGTATTTTCGAATCAAATAATTGAATCATTCATATTCGTGCAAATCGAATAATTCCTTATTCGTATTTGTAGGAATAATAAAAACATTCGATTCTTATTTGTCGAATATTCGATTCGATCCTAAAATTAAATTCTTTAAAAATATTTTCAAAAAATGAAAATTAAATGTAATAAATAAAAATGATATATAGATGTGAAAAGAAAAAAACAAAACAAGAAATATCTTAAATATCTAAGAGTAATTTTAAATATTTAAAATTAATTCGAAATAATTTAATAATAGAAAATTATTAGAACTATATTTACTTTGAATCCAATCTGAACTAGTATTGATAAATAAACTAACTTTGGCCAAATTCTCATGCTTTAAACCTAAAAAATTTATTTCTTTAACGTCTCATGATTTGTTTTAACATCATATAATATAGATATAATAAAAATACTTTCGTATTTTATTAAAATTATTTACGCATAATTTTTATTTTTAAATTTAATCCAATCATAATTTTATCTTTACCATTTTGCAAGTTAAAATGTGATTAAGACTTAAAAAAAGAAGGTCGCAAGAGCTATGTAAGTTGATAAAAAAGAAAATATAATAATTGTCAAATGGTATGACAATAGGTTTGTCGTCATCTCATCCTTTGTCGGGTTCATCCGATAGTAAATGTAAAAAGATGGTTAATAGCAAAAAATATATTGAAGTGCCAAGACCAAATATATTAAAAATATATAAAGAAGGTATGGGAGGAGTCGATTTACATGATATTCTAGTTGAGTGCTATCGAGAATTAAAGGAGTTCTATTTGTAACATTTTTCATCTCATTGATATGTGGTGAATTCATGGCTTGTGGGGATCAAATATGCCATGAAAAAGAGAATAAATTTATGAAACTAATCCAATTGAAAACACATTGTTGTTGGCAGGGAAAGAAAAACAGGGATCTTTGAATAAACTGATAATTAAAAAAGTTTTTCTATAATGGCGCCTATATCAGATATGATAACAAAGATCATTGGCCGGATGCCTGCGAAACGAGGGAAAGATGCAAGTTATGCATAAATACATACTACCGAATAAAATGTAATAAATATTGATGTGATAACCAATATATAATAAATAGATATTTGTATTTTTTTGTATTACACTCTGCGATGATGTCAAATTGCATCATCATTTTTTTTATCTATATATAATTAAAAATAAAAGTTGAAAATTTTTTTAGCACCTATGGTGTGTATAAATGAATAATTTATATAAAAAAATTTTTTAAATCAATGATGTTATTATTTGAGTAACGTGAAGTAAAGACGTTCTTTTTTTTAATTAATGGCGAAAGCTCTAGTTAATTTATTTTCATAAATACAAATGTAAAGAATTCGCTTTGTTTAAAGGAATTGAATAATTATGGCTAGAAGCTTAAATATTGATCTTAAATAAAAACTTGGCTAAACCATTTTGAAGTTGGCTAAAGATAGGTGATTTAATAATATTACACTGAACCTGTTGTAAAATCAAAAACAGATGCACAGATTCACTTTTTTAGCTGATGCCAATATCAAATTTAAAAATAATAACATATAAATTTTAAGAAAAACCAGTTATTTCCTTGCTATGTTTTGCCCTTTCAGGCAAAACATGGAAATAACCGGACATCTTGGCCTTTATGGCTTTGATATCCCTAAGGCCTTTATTTCTTTATTAAAAATATATGTCAATCAAAAATTTACAGTATAGCGAATAGAAAATAAACAATGAGTTATAATTAGTGTAATAATAGGTATTTATGTAAATAAATATTAGGGATGATTCGTTCTAGCTAATATTGTTTATTGCTGTATTTTTGATTGACATTGTTAGGCCAAGTCTTGGGATGAAATCGTTAGTTGGTCCCAATCGTATGAAGCGGTGGTTGCGCCGTCTTCGGGTATCGACAGGTTGGATATCAGTGAAGGAGTCTCCTGGCTAGACTGGGGTCCGAATAGCGATTCGTCGTCTTGCTGTAGTAGGATAGCTCCTTCTAATATGGGTCCTTCGAATAGTTCCAGATGCCGTCTTGGTGCCATCCAGGTTCTTGATGGTAAGTCAGCTGGGTTGTCCTCGGTAGGAATCCACTGTATGTTCTGTGATATGGCAGTGAAATTAGGCAGGCCCAGCTTGACCATGATCTGAGTGATGATGATCTCTAATGACGGGGATCTTGAGCCTCCTTTTCTAAAGGTGTAGTAAGCTACTGAGGAGTCTGTGAAAATCATTGGGTGCTCATTGTTGCGATGTATTGCCATAATTGCACCCATGCCAACTGCTAAGATCTCCTTGCCATTGATGTGGGCTATTGCATGTAGAGGGACGTTGAAAAGCAGGCAAGCTTCACTATAGGCCACTGAGAGGTTATCGGTTTCCCAGAAGTTGATTCCCATGTGAGAGTTGGATGCATCGACGTAGACGGGTGCGTTTGCGTAGTAGTGTAGGGGTAGCGGCGTCTCCAATGCGTCGATGATGAGCTTTGCCTTGGTGAATGCTAAGAAGGTATCCACTACAGGGGTAAGCTGCCCGTTATTCATAGTGACATAGTACGGAGAAAAGAGTCTGGACATGCCTGTTATAGTGTAGGCGTAGTGATTGACGACTCCTAATACTCTGGCAGCTAGTTCTATGCCCACATCAAGGTGTTGGTACGAGTGTCGCCGGAAGACTTCTAGGCATTTGAGTAGTCTTCTCCTCGTGGTGGTGTCTGCGGAGACGGTTTTGGCAGACAGGTCGATGGGAACGCCCAGGTAGGTAATCTGCGGAGTAGGGTCTAGGACCGATTTCTCGGGTGCTATTTGGAGACCCCAACCTTCCAGGGTGCAACGTAAGGAACGAGTTGACCACTTGACATCGTTTTCGTTGGACCCATAGATCAAGATGTCGTCTAGGTAGACGTTATAGCTGGCTTTCTTGACCGTTTTGGCGCATGCGTCGAGGATGATGGATTGCAGGCAATACGGGCTGAACGACGCTCCCATGGGCAGTACTTTGTACCGGTAATTATCATTATTGAACTTGAAGCTTTTAGTTGCCAACGTCATAGAGTTTGCCGACGAGGACCAGATTTGCTCCCCGCTCTTTGTGATCCCCAAAGGAAATGGAGCGCCTAGAGTTATCAGTGACTTCTCCGAAGTCTCCAAAAACTTCTTGCACTACCCATTCCGTCTCAGATCCATACCACTGATGTCGGCCAAACTCGATCAAGCGGCCTTCGCCTGCAAAATCGACATCAGATCCGCCTTTTTCTCCATACCCCTGGCAACTGGGGTTAGAAAATTTTTTGGCTTCAAGTTCAATAATGATAATTACCGGTACAAAGTACTGCCCATGGGAGCGTCGTTCAGCCCGTATTGCCTGCAATCCATCATCCTCGACGCATGCGCCAAAACGGTCAAGAAAGCCAGCTATAACGTCTACCTAGACGACATCTTGATCTATGGGTCCAACGAAAACGATGTCAAGTGGTCAACTCGTTCCTTACGTTGCACCCTGGAAGGTTGGGGTCTCCAAATAGCACCCGAGAAATCGGTCCTAGACCCTACTCCGCAGATTACCTACCTGGGCGTTCCCATCGACCTGTCTGCCAAAACCGTCTCCGCAGACACCACCACGAGGAGAAGACTACTCAAATGCCTAGAAGTCTTCCGGCGACACTCGTACCAACACCTTGATGTGGGCATAGAACTAGCTGCCAGAGTATTAGGAGTCGTCAATCACTACGCCTACACTATAACAGGCATGTCCAGACTCTTTTCTCCGTACTATGTCACTATGAATAACGGGCAGCTTACCCCTGTAGTGGATACCTTCTTAGCATTCACCAAGGCAAAGCTCATCATCGACGCATTGGAGACGCCGCTACCCCTACACTACTACGCAAACGCACCCGTCTACGTCGATGCATCCAACTCTCACATGGGAATCAACTTCTGGGAAACCGATAACCTCTCAGTGGCCTATAGTGAAGCTTGCCTGCTTTTCAACGTCCCTCTACATGCAATAGCCCACATCAATGGCAAGGAGATCTTAGCAGTTGGCATGGGTGCAATTATGGCAATACATCGCAACAATGAGCACCCAATGATTTTCACAGACTCCTCAGTAGCTTACTACACCTTTAGAAAAGGAGGCTCAAGATCCCCGTCATTAGAGATCATCATCACTCAGATCATGGTCAAGCTGGGCCTGCCTAATTTCACTGCCATATCACAGAACATACAGTGGATTCCTACCGAGGACAACCCAGCTGACTTACCATCAAGAACCTGGATGGCACCAAGACGGCATCTGGAACTATTCGAATGGCCCATATTAGAAGGAGCTATCCTACTACAGCAAGACGACGAATCGCTATTCGGACCCCAGTCTAGCCAGGAGACTCTTTCACTGATATCCAACCTGTCGATACCCGAAGACGGCGCAACCACCGCTTCATACGATTGGGACCAACTAACGATTTCATCCCAAGACTTGGCCTAACAATGTCAATCAAAAATACTGCAATAAACAATATTAGCTAGAACGAATCATCCCTAATATTTATTTACATAAATACCTATTATTACACTAATTATAACTCATTGTTTATTTTCTATTCGCTATACTGTAAATTTTTGATTGACATATATTTTTAATAAAGAAATAAAGGCCTTAGGGACATCAAAGCCATAAAGGCCAAGATGTCCGGTTATTTCCATGTTTTGCCTGAAAGGGCAAAACATAGCAAGGAAATAACTCATTTTTTTAAATTTATTTATTTAATCATTTATAATTAATTTATAAAAGTAAATTAAACTGTAGAAATAGGTGGGAAAAATATTAACGGTACCTTCCTTCTTTCTTATCAAACTCTTAATTTAGTTAGCTAATTTATAGATAAGATTAAGTAATGCTTATTTTTATAATTAGAAAAGTGACCTAAACGCTTCATTTTATCGTAAATAATTATGTACTTCCGTGGATTCCATGTTTGATATTTCGAAATTATGATCGGGAAATTTTAGCGTTGTGTAAATGTTGAATAAGTTTTGTAAACCTGTAATTTCGGGGCTTTTACCTTATGTTACATTGTGTATATAATTTTTTTTACTTTAAATATTAATTCCAAAAACACCTCCCCCCTTCCCCCTCAACAAAAAAAAATTATTTGGACCAAGATTTATCTGTTAAGTATGGTAAGCATTATATTGTCTAGTTTAAAAATTGAAAAAATAAATATTGACCATTTTAGTTATTTTATCATAATTTTTTTAAAGATAAATTTTAATTAATATTGAAACTATTTTACAGAACCATACATACAAAATTCTTTTTTAATTTTTTTTAGCAATATTGTACGAAGACCTAAGTTGCAAATGTCATGGAAGGTTGCATCTTAATAAATTATGTTGCTTAGAAAAGGTAAAGCAAAAAGCATATTAGGCTTTGAACATAGGGTTTAAAAAAAATGACAGTATAAGCATAGTGAAGATTTTTTTACGTACTTTGATCTTTATGATAAGGGTAAGAGAAAACGAGACTGCCAGATGGTATATTCGAATCAGTAAACGCCTTGTTTATCTTGCGTCTAATCTCGTCAGGTTCGTCGAGTAGTTCTATTCGGTTGTTAATGTTAGAATCCGATTTACTCATTTTAAGAACCGGGTTCCTCAAGGCTTTCACCCTGGTAATTTTACCTAATCAATAATTTTTATTCATTTATATAAAAAATATATATCAGGCCAGCAGAGATACCATTTGCACGGCCCGGTCCGGATTTTTTAAAAATATATTATATTTTTTTTCAATTTTTATAGCTAACATTGGTGATTTAAAATATTTGGTTTTAAAATATACGGCCCGGTCTGGTTATTTTTTTAAAAAAAAATTCAGGCTCAGGTATATTAAAAAAAATTAAAATATGGCCTGCCCCATCCAGGCCTGCAGGTCTCTGATATATAATATACCGAGAAATTTAATGATTATAATATTAAATAAATATACACTTTAAAATGTCTGCGAAAATTAAAAAAATTCTAGAAGATATTCTATTTCCAATGAGCCAATTTTTATTTTTTTTTCTTAATAAAAAATTAATTAGAAATAGTTTAAAAAAGTTCTACCTAACAGGGTAAAAAAAATATTTAATTATCAATAATCACACCAAGGCCAATTTTTTTTAGTCAAAAGGAGTAAGATTGTAAATTAAAAGATTTTTGAGATTGGAAATCAAAATGGAACATTGTAATACGCATTTGATATTTAAGTATATTCTTCTAAATATAGCAATTCCCAGTGGCTTTAACTTGTTTCATTTATTGCCAACATCAAAAAATATTTGAAAAAAAACAGTTTTATAAATTAAATTTTGAAACCTAGTAAAGGTTTGGGCACGGTGAAATAGTCTTTCTTGTATATATTATTGAATTTTTGAACTAGATGTTGAGTCAAGTGCAAATGCCACAATTGATCTTCTCCTATGGGTACGTGGGTTGCTCTTTATAATTAATAATTATTGAATATTTATATATTTAGTTCTTTCTTATAGTAATGGAAATTAAACTTTTATTTCACACTTACTTATAAAGCAAAATATCAGCGGCCTGTAATACCGGATATGAAAATAAGCTCAAAGATGTACCGCCTTTTTTAACCTCTTCATTGTCATAGCTATCTTCCCCTTTTTCTTTCCAAACAGGCATATAATTCAACTTAGCTAAAGTGGTGAAGCAACTTAATATCCAACATAATTCGGCATGTTCTTTAACCTAAATACATATATAATAATGTAGTTATACAAGTTTATAAATTAATACAAAAGAATCTTTTTTGAAGGGTCTGAAAACTTTTAAAAACTTTCAATGCCAACCTGGCCTGGCTCGTCCCAAGGCTATCCGCTGCCCTTGGGGAAAAATATATTTACCGCCTCTTAAAAACTTTAAAAAATATGTATATTATTAAAAACTTTAGTTCTGAACCATTTCATCTGGATTTAAAGTATACCCCATTTCGGATTTATTAGATAAAATCAAAAATTCAGGCGATCTTTCGGTCAGGGTTGACCTTAAACCACTTTTTATTAATGTTATAACTAAGAGCTTCTCTCAGCGCTTATAGGTATTGCATCATTATAATTCATAAAGTCAATTATAATACCATATACCAAACTTGCATAAGTAAAACGATATTATTACATACTTTACCTTCATCATATTCTATCAAATTAAATAAAATATATTTTACTAATATCTGTTTAATTAAATTGCCTCATATATTAAAAAATTATTTTAATGGATGTTTAATTAAAATAAATTGGTGAATAGATTATAAGCAATGAATATGAAGTAGGGGAAAATGGTAATGACAAATCTGAGGTCTAGAAAAATTTTTCATTTATATATGATAAAAATAAAGAAAAAATTAATTATAATTCCATAACAACAGGTTAGTATATTTATACACTTAATATATGATATTATTAAATTATTTTAGGCACAAATCAACTAAAAGGATATAAATGTGTATTTACAATAGAGTAATTTGACGGCCATAATCTAATCAAAATATATATTAAGTTGCATTAATTTAATTTGTAAAAAATATTATAAAAAAGTTAAAATTCAATCGATAAAAATTATTGCGATTATATAAAAATAATAAGCATGATTTATGTCGAATGTAGATAATATTAGTTAATATACGGACTAAAAAATATGAACATATAATAATGACATATCAATATCATTATCAATCACAAAGTGAAAAATTTTGATATATAAATAAAAAGAAGTACAGTTTCTGGCTTTAAACGAGTCCTTTTCTCTTCTAAGGCCACCAGCAACTGAAAACGCACTTTCACTGCTAGCTGATGAAGCAGAGATAGCTAGGTATTTAAGAGCCAAGCTTAAATTTGGAAAGTCAATATGGCTTGTTTTCCACCAATTTAAAATATTATCATCTTCAATATATAATTTAGAATCTAAGCATTTTTGAAGTTCATCAAATTCAACGCTAGCATCAGAAAACGCAATGTCAGCCTCCCATAGAGAGGAATCCAAAAACATATATACCTCAGTATTTTCTTAAGAAGAAAAATATTCATAATAATTTTAAAAAAATATATATTTACTTATTATTTTTTAATTCATAATTTTTTTATTAATTTAATGAACCTTTACTCATAACTCTATCAGTTGAGTAGGAGCTAGATGGTGAGTTGGTATTTATAGATTTTTGCCCAATCATATCTCTGTTCTTCTCGGCAATAATCAACGTGTTAAAATGTTGGCACAAATCTTTATAATGTTATTGGGATAATATATTCATACTCCGAAATTTTGGGCACAAAATTCGGTGGAATAAATCTATTAGAAATTTATCCACCATTTTTTTCCCGACATTTTGCGAAGGCAGGTTAAACTGAGTTTAAGTTTGGATATGCTAAAAAAACTCAATATTTTGTGATATATAACTTTGTGAATGGTGGGTTTTAAATCACTTTCAAGCTCAACTCGCAATTTTAAAAGACGTCAGAAACTTGATAAGGTCCTTCATCATTTTATAATCTATATTTTCGAGCCTACTCTCCTCTAGAACTGAGAATCCCTAATATTTCATTGAATTGATTATCATCTTTAGTCTGCTATTCCATCAAGTCTCAATACAAAAGTGGAGTGTTTTATCAAGTTGATTAACTAATCTAAAATTTAATGCTATATTTTAGTAAAATTGATTTAATATAACCTTTCTTATTAATATAAGTAACTAAACTTTTATAATAAGCAAAACATTGATATCTCTGAATCTTGAGATTCATTATTTATATTATTATTCTCTAATACTGTATTTAAAAGATGAGAGACATATTTCAATGATAATGATTTTCAAATGCTTTAATCAAATTAGCTCCTTATCTGTAATGAATGAGATTTCAGATAAATAAATACATTGATTTTTATAATTATTTTTAATGAAATAAATACCTAATAAGGTGAAATTTAGTAATTTCTTTTTAATATTTTCACTTCTTCTTCAAACTTGCATGTAGGAACGAAATGAGGCAATACAGGATGGAAAGAAAATAAATATGCTTTTAAGGGGACCGACAACAACGACTAAAAGTAAGAGATGATTCAGGCCACAAAATAAGATCAATTTTACGAATGATTATATTATTGCATTGGCGTACACAGCGTGGGGCGGCAGGGGGACAAATCCCCTCCCCCCAAGCCAAAAAATGCAGATGCCGGACATATTTTTCAAAAATATTATTGTTTATATTAATTTATATTTGTTAATATTTATTAGTATCTCATATATTTAATTACATTTATCTACTAAGTTATATTAATTACGATTTCAAGTTTTCCGGCGTAATATTTACTTATTATTTTCAAATTTTTAGTGGCGTAATATTTATCTACCATTTACAAATTTCTAGTCAAATAATTATTATTTCTGAAACTTCTTGTCCAACAGGGAAAAAGAAATTGCAACCTTGTCCAACGAGATAGTCTCTGCCGTCAAGCAGTAACAGCTTTTAAGGAGTTAGAAAAGCCAATTATTTGCTATTACTGAAATATCACAATGGCTTGAAAGAAATATTTCCTCAGAAGCAAGAAAATTATTGGATTCAATGCTTATTCCAAATTTTATTCCTCATTAGAATGTATTATTTAATTATACAACTATTTTAAGTATTACTTTTCAAAAACATGACATTGACTTGATTAAGAAGATGAAAATAGCGGAGAGCATTTTATCAGAACTCAAGGAAATTAGGGCTAATGTTGATGAAGAATTTCATATTTTATTGTTGAGTCAAAAGCAGAGCTATAAGTGTTTAATATTTGTCTTCCTCGACTCGTAGCAAGGCAAGCTCATCGTTAAAACATTAATATAGGATCAGTAGAAGAGTATATCTTAAATACAGATACATTTATAACCCAAATAAATGAATTTTTAATTCATCATGCAGCACTTACTAATCTGCAAATATTACTTATACAAAAGCCTTCCCAACCTTTTTCAGATGGTGATAGAAAAAAAAAATTTGTTAGATTTTTAATGAAGATGTTAAAGTATCTTATGATGCCTTACTAGCTGAATAACTATGTTTATAATAAGATTAACAATGGTTTATATAGTCCCAAAAAATGCTATGGATGCTCTGTCAAACACATTTTAGATTGAATTCCCAATGTATTAAATGGGTTTATAAACTCTTCCCATTAGTAAACTAATGAGAGAACTTTTTTTTTAAGTATTAAATACAAAAAAAATAAGAAGAATAAGCCTTTAATAATTCCTGAATATGTTATCCGAATTTTACACTCTTTAAAAACTTTATTTCATACTCATAAAAACAAAAGTTACAAATTTTTTCAATGAATTAATCTTTACAAAATAAAAACTAAAATTATATAATTATTATTTCTTCTTTTTTTTTAAATTTAACAAAAAATTTTCAATGAATTCTTTTACAAAAAAAATAATATATATCTTTTCAAAAAAATATATTATCATAATATTTATTATCTTTTTACATTACATAATAATAATTCTTTTTTTTACCAATCAGATGTCTATAATTCATCTGATTGACATTTGGAGCTTATCTATATATATATATATATCTATTTTTTACATACTAAGACATGTCACCCCTTTATGGGTCAGTGACACTCCTTTAACAAAAACGATGGCGATAATATAAAACAGATTTTACAAAAATTATTATACTACAATAAGAAATTTTTATAAGCAATTACTATACTACAATAAAAATCTTTATAAGAAATTACTATACTACAATAATAATAAAAAAATTTTACACCTTCTTTCATTCGCTATCTGAGCTACATTAACAGTAGATCCTCCCATAGTTCTTCCTCCTGATCAGTTGATGCCAGCATACCGGTCGTTACCGTCAACGGGTTGGATTCAGCTGCTGCAGGCGCTACTGGCATCGTACTCGCTGCTCGATGCTGCTCCATCACTGTCCGAATATTTACGTGATACATTCTTCTGATACTGGCCTCTTGGTTCACTAACTTTGCCGGCGTAAGCTGAGAATTATCCTTTCTTGTTCCGCTGATCACACTATCGACGAATTCTCTGGCCAATCTTTTAGTCATCCCTTGTTGTGTGCCCCAAATATTCGTGTCTTGTGCCCCCAACGGTACCCAATTCTTTTTAAACAACGCCGGACATTGATTCTTCAAATGCGTTTCAGACTGGCAATTGAAACATCGCCTTTTCTTAATAAGTAAATTGCTTGATGTGGACGGATTCTCCATTGGGCGAATATCCACATTATTATTCAACAGAATGCCGTTGGATTTCTTAAAATCCAAAGATGGAACTGGTGTACCTTCGGTTGATAAGATTGTAATAAAATATCCTGTGGGAAGAATTATATGGGCCCGTTTGTTTGATAACAAAGGGAAGAAATGGGAAAAAGGTCGTATAGTAGAAAACCTTGGTTCCAAATTAAATGAAATTTTGCTAATAAATGGAATTACGGTAATCAGACATAATGATCACGTAAGGTTAGGAGAAAGTAAGAAAGGATAAGGATAATGTGAAAATGCTTAAATATTAATCTTATCTGATTATTTTTCCAGAATCTTAGATTATTGGAATCATAATGCATAATGTGTTAAAGATGAATAATGAAATTTATTGTAGTAATATAGCATAATATGTTAAATGTGAATAATGAAAATATTGATTCTTTTGGGATACTCTGATAACGATACTTGCGTAG